ATATTTTTATTGATTTATGTAATTTGTTATTATGAATATATGTTATCTTAAATAAAATTTTATTTATGCTTACTTGTTTTACTTGTCAATGTTAGCCCAATAAAATAAAAACTTCAAATCAATTAAATTTATTATTTAAAATATAATGCTTACATAATATAATAATAGCCAGAAGCATATATGCACGTCAAAGACTGAATTCGTCTGCTAGCTAATTACTGTAGCGAATTCAGTGATACCTGCTTGACGGACTTATATTCATTTTTCATGGCGGTATCCTAGGCCGCATCTTGGTAAATTCTAGACAGCCTACTGTACGAACTTGTACAAAATTTTCAAGTAAGCATTCTATACAGTTATTTGAGAATAAATTTCCACCACTAGGACGGCCACGATCAATTTTTACACGAGATAGGCCAGAAGGATCTTTTTATAGTTTTATGGCTTTTCATTGCAAAATTAAAAATTGTTGTATTTCAAAAAAATAATTATTTAAATATTTTATTTGTAATGTACATGTTAATACAATTACAACGATATATAATTTTTCGCAAATATTTTTAAATAATTGAAAATTAATGTTAATTAATGCAGTAGATTGTTGTATAATCATTATGTAATTTTAAAGTTTTTACATAAAGTTTTATATCATTGGAATCGTTAAAATCTAAAAATTACAATTATTACATTTAAAAAAATATTTTTTTAAATTTAAATAATTTTTCTTCCTCGTGGAGGAAGCTTTGTAGTCCTTTCGTTTATAAAATTGAGACTGGTATTAGCGCGTGCGTCCGACCAGTTCTTGAATTGGAAGCTTCAATTTTTAAAAATAGTGAAAACAAATTTTCCTCTATATAGAAACATGTTATATGAGATCCTGATCAATTGTCCGGATGTTCGTACGTGTGTGTGGGTCTTTTTGTGATCATGATAATTTTAACAGGTTTTAGTAGATTTGGGTAAAATTTGGTAGGCTTATTTATCACATTAATATCTCAAAATAGACGAAAGGATTCTAATATTACAAAATGTCATATCAAAAAATATATGTGTTCCTTTATTAAAACTGAATGACAACAATTCAAAAAGTGTTAGTCCCATTTTTCAGTAATAGGAAGTCACAAGATTTTTCGTTTTGTGCTTTCAGCGGTAACGCGACTCAAATTTTATTTGGTCGCAGGTGAGAGAATCCCTAACCCATGTAAGTGAGTGCAGTGTTGCCTTATTATTCAAATAAGAGCGGCAAATTTGAAATTGAATATTGTGAAACTTTTCTGAACAATTATTTAATCGGGACATTTAAATCTTTTCACTAAACATTGCAAATTAAATATTCCGAACATTTTAAATAAATCTTTAGGAAATTTTCGGTGCTGTGAGGGAAAACTGTTTTACTGAAATATAGAAATTATGCAATGATAATTTTATGTGATTTAAGAGAAATAAATGAAAAATGAAACTGGCTGAGGGATTCTCTCACTATGCGACTGACGGAGGGTTAAAAAATCTATTTCATAAGTGTGAACATAGCAGTTTTCATTTGTTACATTCAATATGTTTGTTTACATTTAGAAGTGTCAATTTTTAGAAACATTGGTTAAGAAAAATCGAAATAAAATATAAAAAAATATATTAAAATATCTAAAAAACTTTCTATTTAGTAAAATTCAGTGGAATATAATTTTTGGGGTGTAGTTCCGATTAGCGCAAATGTGATTATCGTGGTAAAAACCATAAAAAACACCATAAAATTGTGGTTTTTTGCGAATAACTCGTAAAAAACGCAAAATTTCGAAAAATGTTTTAGACAAAAGTTGTAGGTCTCAAAAAAACACACATTTTATGTCATATACATTTTTCACCTGAAGTGATTAGTTTTTGAGAAAAATAAAAAAAAAATAAAACAAGTTGTAAATTCAGATGTTCATTACATGAAAAATAATGGAGAAACAGTGCACATCATAACTAGAGAGAAAATTGGATCCCACCCAACTTCGTCGGCAGAATACTTTCGACCATATCCGACCCCTCTCGCAAAGGTTTCTTAAAAAGGCAAGCGAGTAAACCCATGTAGAAATTTATCGTGGCCTTCCTAGAAATAGACTAATGCTAGACAGTATTTGTCGTGGAAATTTATTCTGAAAAAACTGTCCTGGCCCCGAAAAAATAGAAAATAAAAAAAAGAAAATACACGGAAAACTAAGCCTAATGTTATTTCGGGGATAGGTCCCTTTTCTCGTGCGGCGTCACATTTAAAGAAAATAATACAAATGTCTGAAAATACATTTATTTGCCCTAAGAACAAAATGATTGGCAGAGGCCAATTATTATATCATTGGCCTCTGAACGTTTTTAAATACAATTATTGGCTACCCTACTGGAAAAACGTACGTACGATCTATGATTAGGTCGTACATAAAACTCACGTGAGAACGCTGGTAAGATATCAAGCAACATCTTGCGAGAGATCTTACGTACGAACTCATGAGAATTCTTAATTCGAATTTCGTACATACATACACATGCGCCACTTACTACGTGACGTATCAAGAAATTGGAACTGCGAACACATGTACGTTCGTACGTAAGATCTTATGTCTTATTTTTGCTCTGTAAGAGTATAGCTGAAATGAAAACTCACGTGCGAACACACATAAGAACTCATATAGGAAAGAATAAATGATTACCCAGAAAGCACGTTATATTTCCTTAATATTTATTAATTATTTTTACATTGCAATTTAATTATTAATAGAGAGGTTTTTTAATAAATAAATAAGTTCAATTATTATATACAAAAAATTTGTTTATTTACACCGTCTTCGATAAATAAATTAATTAGTGAATGCAAAAAAATTAATTATATTTTCAACAGTCTTTAATTTTAATTCCTACCTAACACTTATTACATATTTCGGAAACCGAACATTGTGAAGATAATTTTGAAAACAAATTTTGAGGGACGAGAAAACGAATCCGAGTTCGAACGCAAACGAAAGACCCTATCCAACCGAGCTAAACGACTAACTGTTTAAGGGAACAAAACATTTTTTTTAAGGTGCAAGCCATGTTTTGCCATAGTCGTATATACTCTCGTCTATGCGTTCTTATGTGTGTTCGCACATGAGTTCTCTATGCAGGCGATCGCTGACCATAACTAAAATGGTAGGGGGACACTTTTCACAAAAAATTTTTTTCCTAAAATAAACTTTTCCAAAGAAAATCTTGTTTTCCCAAAACATTTTCCAAAAAAATATTTCATGTTCGAAAACATGAAATTCATATTTTTTATTGCAAGAAATTAGCATTTGTTTTTGCAACCACATTCATTCGTGTGTCAGTTTCGGAATCAAACGTTTGGTTAACTTTTGGATTAGTTCAAATTGTTTTATTAAAAATTTCTAAATTTGTAGTGAATATAAAATTATAGTGAAATTATAGTGATATTATAGTATAATATGGCAAGAGTAGAGTTAATTCAATCAAGAAAAGGTAATTTCTTACATGTTAACGGATTTTTATATTATAAACATTCAAGCGGAAAAAATCGCGTATATTGGAATTGCTGAAATAAAAAGGAGTGCTCGGCACGAATAATAACAGCGGCTTTAGTTGATGGAGAGGATATAGTGATTTTGAAGGGCATTGAGAAGTCTCCTCATACTAATCATGCACCTAATCTTGTTCAAAAGTATCTGGAATACATTGATAATAATGATGTTTCATCGTACTTGCGAACTGTTGGATACCACATAAAATTTTAAGTATGCATGACAGCACAAATTTTAAAATAAATAAATAAAATAAAAAATATTTTTTTGGGAATATTGTCTTTGGAAAAGTTTATTTTGGGAAAAAAATTTTTTGGGAAACAAAATTATTGGGAAACCGATTTTGGGAAAAGTGTCCTACAACCACTAAAATTTTATATGGTAAATACATGTTATTTGCAAAAATTAGAATTTATGCACCCTAGAAAAATAATCTTCAGTTTAGCGGATTCCTCTCAATTTAATTCATATTTTCCTGTTATATTTAATATCAAAACCCTGACGGATTTAAGGGGGAGTGTCACCTTTGAGGTCTCTTTAGAACCTGTTTTTCATGAATTTTTTTAAGTCACAGAAAAAAAGTAAGTAAATAAAAAGTTTCAATTTGTTGACTATATATGCCGCTAAAGTTGGTCTCGTTTTTCTTCAGGGCAAATCGGTGGGCAAGATTCCGGTTGAACCGTTTAATATAAAACAAAAATTCAAATTTTATCGGAATCTGTGGTAGATTTAGCTTTAGAGTACGTAGGATATTTGAAAAATAATAATTTTTGTGGATTTGGCAGCTATTTGAAGGAAAAAGTCGATTTTTAGGGCGAAATTTTTTCAAAAAATCTATTGCCAAAAAAAAACAAACAAACCAATAAAAAATCCGCTACGTACTCTAAAGCATTTGTAAATGACGATCAAAAAAACTTTGGCCGAAGTCAATCCGATCAAAACTGTTCGAGCTAGACTACCCACCGTTTTGAAAAATGTCATTTCAAGAAAAACGCGTTTAAAGTTTTGACATGAAAACTTATAAAATAAAGCTTCCTCAACGAGGAAGCAAAAATAATATCAACGTTAATCTGTGAGCGTAAAACTACGCAATTGTTACCACAGTAAAAGACAAAATAGCCGATAGCGCTATCAAGCACTCGAAGCGCTCTTGGACTCCTTCTGCAGATTTCGTTTTTTTTACATAAAATAACTTCGAAATCGCTTTTGCTGATATAATTTCTATTCTACACATCATAAAGTATCGTTTAAGATAACAAAAAAAATAGATTTTTTTCGGGTCAAAGGTGTAACTGAGTAATTTTAGCACAATGACAATTACTTAAATAATCTATCGAAATAAATTGTAGGGTATAAAGACGATATTTTATCCACCTTTGAATTTAATTATATTAAGTTTTAATTTTAGAAATTATATAATCGTCTTTATAATTTTATTATATATTACAGAGCCGATAAACAAATTAAACACTGCAGAATTATGTTAGAAGGACGTTTATACACAATTGGATCAATACAATTTGAAAGTTTAGTTGAACTAGTTAATTATTATGAGCGTCATCCATTGTACAAAAAAATTAAATTATGTTATCCAGTCAGTAAGGAGGTCACGAATTGGAAAGGAACGGTGAGATAATTAAAATATATCTTTTAAATTTTTATAGTACAGTGCAATTTATTATGTTATGTTCTTGGCATGTTATGTAATATCAAATATCATATTTTGTATTTTTATGCACCATTATTTAACAGTAATTATTATAACAAATATACAATTGAAAGTTTTTTTGCCGATAAGACTAAAAGAATAATACTTATTTCAAAAGCAAAGTTGAAGGACTCCAAATAAAATGCATTATTTTGTAAAGAGTTAAATTGCGTACTGATTGTAAGACATTATTAGATTCAGGGAAGTAGATAGGAAGTTTCCAGGAAGTTACCCGTGGAAATTTCCGAAGTTACCTTGGACATTTTCCTGGAAATAATGGTGCTATGTGAGCAGTTGACAGCTGTTAATGCAACTGTCGAAATTTCTAAAAAATAATTATATTTAACAAAATTGACGTTATATGGATTTTCGGGGTCGCTCATTACGATTATGATGTTAAATTGACCGTTGGCAGCTGTCAATTAAACTGTCAACTTTTCTAAAAAGTAATTATTTTTAACGAAAATGGAAATAACAGTGTTTTTCGGGTCGCTGATTACGAATATGATGTCAAATTGACAATTATTTGTCATTATTATTGTCATTTATATCGCTTACCTAGGGTTCCGTTCACGATTATTTAAATTTAATTATAATATTTTAAAGGGGTTGGCTATTTTTTTCGTAAAATCTGTACGTGAAATTAAATATGTCTACCAAGTTTCATCTTCTTAGCTACAAAACTGTAAAAGTTAAGACGGGGGGAACACGCTTTTGAAATTTCGAGTTTTTGTACTATAGTTATATTAAATTCAATTCCAATCGGGTTCGCTATAATTTTCTTTTAATCTACTCCTAAAAATACGTATGTATACCAAATTTGAGCCTCGTAGCTCTAAAACTGTGAAAGTTAAGGGGGACACACACTTTTTCCCGAAATTTCGAGTTTCTGTACAATAAATATATTAAATTCAATTCCAATCGTGTTCGCTATAATTTTCCTTTAATCTACTCGCGAAATTACGTATGTAAACTAAGTTTGAGCCCAATCGGTTAAAATGGCTAGATTTTAGAGGGGGGGGGCAGGATTTTGTAAATTATTTTTTGAAAGTTAAAAATGTGTATTTCAATCACAAAAAATATTGAGATGTCCTTTTTTGAGATATTAATTAATTAATTAATGTTAATAAAAATGAAATATTTCACAAATAAATAAAGTTATTGCAATCCCGGAGGTACCAATTGAAAGCTGACGTTATTCCAAATCCAATGAGCCCTTTATGAACTATTGTGGATTAGAGGATTTTTTATAAACAATTGCAATGTTAGCCAATTGTTTATTAGAAATCCACTTATTGGGATCTGACATTCGTACACATGCCATCTGGTGTTGAAAAATGTAACTAGTTTTGGATAACTGTTTGTGTCACTTGCAATTGTAGTTCCGCTGTCATTGTTAATTATTTTATCATTATGAATGAAGTTACATTTTTACCGCGTGAGGAATCTTCCTGCAGAATTAAGTGTTCTGTGAGAGGCTGTGGCAGTACTGTAGCGAAAAATTTAAGCGTAATTTTCCATAAATTTCCGAAACCAAAACCAAAATTACACGATTTACACCACACTTTATAATGTGCCCGGCTTGCAAAACGCGTTCACCTTCAATAAATTTTCGTTGAGCAGGATTTGTACCTGCCCATGTGCAAATACTGTCCATAGAAATGAACATTTTCTGCATCCCATGTTATTCCCATGTAAATTCACTAAAAGTGTTACCCAATTTACGCCATATTGCTTTAGGCCCCGCCCCCATGTCAGATCCCAATAGTGCTCGTTTGATGCGGAATTATGTCAACTTTCACTTAGTAACGTCAGAATTACGATAACTTTATTTGTTTACAAAATATATAATTTTTTAGTAACATTAATTAATTAACTAATATCTCGAAAATAACAAAAAAGGACATCTCAATATTTTTTGTGATAAAAATGCACATTTTGAACATTCAAAAAAAAGAAAATACCTTTAAAAAAATCAGGAAAAGAAGCAGGCGCAAGTGCCTACATTTAGGGTTTCATGGATTTTGAAATTCATATCAAAAGTTATTGGTATATAATAAATAATTTATAACTACACTAGCTAAAAGAAACGCGCGTAAACGCGATTTTTTATGATAAATTAAAAATTTATTTTTATTTGACGAAAAGTTATTGGAATTTTGATCCCACAAAATTAATAATGTTATTTTTGAAATCGTTACTGTATTACTATTTCAACATTATGGTGTTATAATAATATAATACCTATTATTGCACAGTCAATATGACCTTTAAATTTTATACTCAAATAAAGATTATATGCTACGATCGTCGAATTGTTAGCAATATATTTAATTGACCCATCTCAGGATCCATGCAGGGTGATTTCCTATTTTGTTTACCACAAGGCCCATGAACTTAAAATCGCTTTATTATGTTAAAAAGTACTGGATTCTTCATTTCGTCTGTGATTTCAGCACATATCATTTTATTTAAAGTTTTTCAATCGCAAATTTGTGCACGTAAAAATATAATTAAACGCACATGTGGCAATCCCCGCTTTTTTCTTCTATATGAAAGACGATACATATAAAATTGTAAATGAATAAAATTACAAGTACCCTGAGTATGCTTAAGGTTAACAGTCCATCCAGGATCACCATAAGAAAACATTGTAGGATATGTCATGGAATCAACATTTTCACTAACAATAAGACTCGAAATTATTTTCTCATTATTTTCTGTTGTGCATACTGAATTTATATCAACATGTAATTACCTCCTCAATTTCTGTAGATAATTTCTTTATCTTACATGACAAATTTTTTTCTTTGGGTATTTACTTTTCATTCTCAGTTTCAGTAGACAGAACTCTGTTGTCATTTTTACTGGCAAAAGTCTTACAAAAATATGAAAGGTTTCGACCACCATTTTGAAGTTTTTTAGCTCGATTTATGAAAAGACAATTCCAATCATTCTCTACAAATCGAAATCCTAATATTAGACATTCCAACTGCCGGAAAATGATTTAATTAATTGTTTTCAAAAAATATTATCAAATGCTTGCTCATTATATTATTATCAGTTTCATAAATTAATCTTTTAATTTACACTGTTAACCAATACAGATGTTGCAAATGCTATTTGATGTACTTCACACTTAACTGTACCAATCGGTTGTTGATCAAGAGCTTCAAAAACTACTGTTGGTTGAAAAGGGAACAATCTAATTAAATATTATACTTGGAAGAACATTCAAACATCCTGCATTAAGAATTTCAAAAATATAATGTTTTATTCCACCGTAATAGACACAAATCCAATAACCAAAATCGTATTACCACTAAAAACTATTTGAATATGTTTAACTTCTTCTTTAATTGGAAAAATTAAATCAAGTATTTGTAAATACAAAGTACTTTGCATAATGAAAAAATAATTTGTATCTTTTCTCAATCATTTTTAAATTTTATTCATATGCATATAATTTAAATTTTCATTTACATATTCAATAATTTTAAAATCTTTATTACTTAAAATAAAATACTCTTTTATGTTTGACATGGTAACCTTCTTCAAATTTCAAGCTCCTGGTAAAGTCACTTTTCAAAACAAATCTTCCATTTCAGTTTCCTGCTTTAGAAAATTTATTTGGGTGATTCTCTCAAAAAGGACTAATGACTAAAGAAAAATTCCAAAAAAATTTGTCAAGTGCGAGTTACACTCGCTTACCTAGGGTTCCGTTCTCAATTATTTAAATATTTATATATGTTTAAATAAAATAATTTTCCTGTAATTTTCTTTCAATTTTTTAAATTTATTTTTACATATTTCTCAGAATTTCACGATAACGAGAATATGTTGTTCCAAATATAAATGTTAATATTCAAAAGTTTTATAATTTTGGTACAATAAACCTATACGATGTGTTTTAAACCAATTTAACCCAAAGGTGCTTGCACCAAAGATTTTCTTCTTGATTTTGATTCTCCAATATAACGACATGGTTATAGCTCGGGCGCGGCTGGTAAGATGAGGGACACCACTTCCCCTTAGAGGACAGTAATTAAACGATTGTCGACCATCTTATATAAACAATAATTTAAAAAAACCCTCAACCGAAGGCTGTTTTTGACGAAACAAATAGCAGGTAGAAACCCTCAAAAACCCTCATTATCAAAGCAAAGATATAAATGTATATATAATCTAATTATAACGAGAAATATCAAGTGCTAAGAAAATGTGAATGAATGAAGGAATGAATACAAAGATTATTATAATATAATAAATAATAATAATAATTATTTGTGAATTGCTATAGTTGCTACGGTAATAGTTGGTATGGTAATGGTTGTTATGATAATGGTTGTCATGGTAACGGTTGCTATGGACACGGTTGCCATGGAAACAGTTTTAATGGTAACGGTTGCTATGGTAACGGTTGTCATGGAAACCATACGAGTGTACGGCGGTCGGACGCCAAATCGAAACTATAAGGCAATTTTTAGTTAATTAATTAACTATTGAGGTTAATAAAAAATGATATATTTTGTAAACAAATAAAGTTATCGTAATTCTGACGTTACTAAATGAAAGTTGACACAATTTCGCATCCAACGAGCCCTATATGAAGTACTTTGGATTAGTGTATTGTTAATAAACAGTTGGCTAACATCGCGATTGTTTATAAATAATCCTCTAATCCAAAATAGTCCTTGTAGAGCTTGTTGGATGTGGAATTACGTTAGGTTTCAATTAGGACCTTCAGAATTGCAATAACTTTGTTTATTTGTAAAAGATTTCAATTTTTAATAACATTTATTAATTAATAAATATCTCGAAAATAACAAAAAAGGACATTTTAATATTTTTTGTGGTGAAAAAACACATTTTTAACTTTAAAAAAAAAAAAAATAAAAAGGACTGAATTAAAAAAAAAA